TTTTTATGGTTTAGGTTTCATTTCCTTTCTTAACGTTTTTCTTTATTTCCTTTTCTTAAGTTTCTAATGTTGTTTATTTTAATTATTTTTTCAGTCATAATGCCTCCATCAGCCCTTGATCGACTTGGTTTGTTGCCATATTCTTAGAAGTCATTTTTGTTCTCCTATTTTTTCTGTTGTGTTTTTCATCATTGGTGACTGATTTTAAATACAACCCCCTGCAGCATCTTTACAAATTGATTATCCAATGTTATTTGAGTTTCGAAATGATGCTGTTGAGCGAGTCTCTCATTGTGGGGTTTTGGAGTTTGTTGCAGAAGAAGGCATGATTTACATGCCTTATTGGGTAGGGTTCCCTATTTCTCTTATGTGATGTGTCCCAGGTGTTATTGACTCTTTCTTATATCCTGTCGTATAACTTTTCCACTTCTGTTCTAATTGTTTCCCCTTCAGATGATGGAGAACATGCTTTTGCAAGAAGGAGACTTGGTGCATGTGAAGAATGTCACTCTTCCAAAGGGAACTTATGTTAAATTACAACCTCACACAAAGGACTTTCTGGATATCTCCAATCCAAAAGCAATGTAAGATATTTGTTCAAGTTTTAGTTTGTGAAACATGTGTCTAGTCTTCTACTTTCTTGTATTTCTAGCTTGTGTCACAGAAAGGAGTTCATTCTAAAGTTGAAATCCTCAGCCATTTTCTTATTAATTTTTAGATGAGCTCTTTAACCTCTAATAAACTAGCCACTATACAACCTATAGTATAACCTTAAGCCTGATAAGTGCACAAAACGCTCGAACATCAAATAACCAACCATGGGTTGATGTTGACCCAATGGTAAAACTAGGCAGCTCTAATCGAATGTTTTTGAAGCTATGGGTTCAAAGCTCAGTAGTCACTTAGAATGTCGAGTATAACGAGCAAGTTTTTTGACATCTAGGATTAAACTATTTATCCTTAAGATAAGTTAAAGGTATAGGCCAGCTATTCCAAATCTCTCTCTCTCTCTCTCCCCTTTTCTTCTTGTCATTGTCTTTCAAAGATCACATGTGATTTCACTATCTCTAATGGTTGGTGTGATGAAGTTCGTTTCACACAGCAGTTTATTTATTTATGTCATACAGCTTAGAGACAACACTTAGGAATTTCTCCTGCCTCACCACCGGTGACAGTATTATGGTGGCATATAACAACAAGAAATATTACATTGACATAGTCGAAACAAGGCCATCCAATGCAATAAGTATCATTGAGACAGATTGTGAGGTCGATTTTGCACCTCCCCTGGATTACAAGGAACCGGAGAAGCCTGTTGCACCAACCAAGGGGAAGGAGCAAGGTACACAGCTTCTACTCTTTTTTTCCAATTCTTACTGCAAATTTGGTTTTCTATTTTACTTTTGAAATAGATGTTTTGTCTAAATCAGTTTCTTTGCTTGAGGAATTGAAAATCAGAAGGCCACCGTTTACTGGTTCTAGATTATATGTAATGAACTCTCTTGTCAGTTGCAGAGGCGATAGAACCAGAAGCTGAACCCAAATTTGTCGCTTTCACGGGAACAGGAAGACGTTTGGATGGTAAATCTTCAAACTACCAGCCTCAGCCAATTTCATCGGCGGCAAGACCATCTGATGTGAAGCAATCGGGCGGTAGTAGCAGCAGCAGATATGGCCATTCACAACAGTCTGCTGGGTCTAGCTCAGTGAACGGAACTCGTCGGTCTCATGGAAAGTTGGTGTTTGGACAAAATGCTCATCGAAATCCTAAAGAAAGTCCAAAGGTACCCCCACTTTACACAAATGATCCTCTAATTTTAAGTCAATTTATAAGTTTAATCTTAATTTTGAGGTTGGTGTCTATTTTATCCCTGATTTTTATTCTAATACATATATAAACTTTTTAAATGACTAATTTACTTATGTCTATCAATTTTCAATTTTGTGCGTTGAACTTTAAAAATGTTTTATTGGTTCTTTATTTTGTGTTTTAATATGTTATGATATATTCAACTTTTTTTTAAAAAAAATGAATTAATCTATTCGATATGAATTTGAATTTTATGTCTAATTGAACCTAAAACTTTAGAATTGTACCTACTAGACTAAAAAATAATGATTTGGTTATAATAATTGTACCTACTTTAAAAGTTTAATAACTAAAAATGTGATTTAACCTTCAAATTATTGCATTTGCCGGTTAATTCATAAACTTAATTTGTAGTTTTAACCTTTCTTTTGCCACTTAATTTATTTCCTGATAATCAGCCTTTTATTATTATTATTATTATTTGTGATTTTGTAGGAGGCCTCGAAAGAGAGTAAACAAGAGCAGCCTGGAAAGGAAGAGCCCAAATTTCAGGCCTTCTCTGGAAAAAGGTACTCGCTGAGAGGTTGATTTGATTGTCTAATATCCATGCCTATAAATATATTTAATTTAGCTCTAAGTTGTTGGAATACACATTTACGCGGCCGTTTCATAGCCAACAGAAGCTCCTAATGTAGTTAAAAGTCGTGCCTCAGTTATGCCCATAGCTTTATGACCAAATATTTGATCTCCTTCTCCACTACAATCTAATCTTGTCTGCGTCCATTGTATTTGAGAAGGAAACCAAAACCAATAAATAAAATACAAAACTACATCACAATTAAAGTCATAACAAAAAAGAAAAGAGAATAAAAGAATTTAATAAGAATGGAAGACACACTTAGGAGAGAATGGCCTTGAGTGCCTCTTTCACAGTCGGGTACTTGAATGTAAAACCCAGTTCCTTGGCTCTCGTAGGAACCACCCGTTGACCCTCCAAAACCTGTAGCAAAGGCCAGCTCAACTTAAAATAGGAGTTTGGCTAACATTATTTTGGCCTCTATACACATTCAATTCCATCTTAGATCTTTACTTCTTGCAATTAATCTTAAATTCAGTCCTTCCAATTAATTTTTATGAAAATTAATAATAATTTAAATAACAGAAAAGATACTATGGGAGTACATTTCTAAAATTTATAGAACAGGATGCTACAAGAGGCTTTTTTATTTTAAAAAAATCAATCATAAACTATTTTTTAAGGTATATTGACAAAAAAAAAAAAATAAAAAAAAGGTAATTTTACTTTGGATTTTTTTTATAGTTTTAAGTTATAGCACAAGTTTAGTACATAAATTTTTAAAATGATTTAGTAGGCCTTTGGGTTCTTGAAAGTATTTAACTCATTTATTTTCATTATTAATTGTGTGTTTAATAATTAGGCTTATTAATTATTGTTTTCAAAATTTATGAATTTGTTATGCACACAAGAGGGGCGTGTGCTTTGTTCTGACATTTTGTAAACCTTGTCGTCTCAGATACAAACTTTCTAAATGAAGAAAATAAACAATTTGAAAGCTTAGAGAGGCATAAAAAGGGAGATTTGTATTAATGAAAGAAGGTAGTAGGGATATTATTAGTAATCTCACCACAGAAGCTCCTTCCCCAAGGACGGCTTTGAGAGCAAAGTCAGGTACAGGAAGCCATGAAGGTCTGCCCATCGCAGCTCCCAATC